CTTTACCAATAGACTAAAGGTCTATTTATAAGTCCATTCTGTACTCAGACAGGTTAAGGGGAAATAATATTTTCTTTCTTTTATTCTGTCATGGTTTGCTTTCTCTTTCACGATTATGTTCCTTTCTCTCCTCTTCGCTGATCTCAATCTTTCTCAAGAAAGTTGCTGAAGATTCAAGGCTTTCATCATGGTATCAGAGCAGGAGTAAAGAAAGCTCTAAACATCAATGGCGAAATCAACGACATCAGGAGCGATGAACCAGTCCGAACAAACAGAAGAAAACACAGCAAGCATCTCATCGGCGCTCAAGTTCGTGGTATCTAACCTCAAGAACATTGTGCCGACTCAAATCTACGGATAACTATTCGGTATGGAGATCGCAAGTGGTGAAACTCGTCAGAGCAAATGGATTCGAAAAATTTCTGGATTCTACCGTCCCTCCTCCACCCCGTCTGCTTGCAAACTCCATTGATTCGGCTGTTTCTTCAGTTAATCCCGAATACAATCAATGGATCTTGACGGATCAAAATCTTGCTGCTGCGATCTGTGCTACGATCTCTCAGTCGGTTCTACCCTATATCATTAATCTTGACTCCACATCGGCAATCTGGGATACGCTCGAACGACGTTTCCAAGCTTCAAACCGCTCTCGTGTAATCCAGCTCAAGAATGAGCTCCACAATATGTCTATGAAATCCGATACTATGACGCAATACCTCTCCAACATCAAAAAGCTTGTCGATCAAGTGGCTGGCACCGGCTCCTCTGTTGACACAGAAGATATTTTGTTATATACCTTAAATGGGCTGCCGCCGGCGTACCAGGCATTTAAAACGGCTATTCGGACAATGCTTCAACCCATCAGTCTTGATAACCTTTATTCACTTCTCTTAAGTGAAGAAGTTAATGTGGCATCTGAAGCAGCTAAAGCCGCCTCTTCCATCGACCCCACTACTGCTCTGTTTTCCTACCGAGGCAAAAACATGAAGAATAGAGGCAAATCTGCTCAAACTAGACCCAACAACAATCGTTCGTTTTCTACATCTACCATTATATGTCAAATCTGCAATAAAAAGGGACACGCTGCGGCTGAATGTTGGCATCGTCTAAACATTCAATATACTCCTCGACCCGCGTCTACGCCTAACCGTGCGCTTGCGACTGCTGCCGACACCAACTCTACGAACTGGTATCTTGACTCTGGCGCGTCTTCTCACATGACTAACTCCCTTGACAATCTCAATATTTCATCTTCTTATAATGGCTCGGACGGAGTTACCGTGGGTGACGGCAGATCTGTGCAGATTGCACATTCAGGTGTTGGTATTTTACCAACACCTACTCGTAAGCTGCAGCTCTCATCCCTTCTCCATATTCCTGATTTACATTTCAATTTATTATCTATTTCTCAACTTACAAAAGACAATGATATTTCCATTTCTTTTGATCTTTATGGTTTCACCTTCAAGGATTTGAAGACCAATCAAGTAATTCTTCAAGGGCCGTGTAGTGAAGGCTTGTACCCGCTTTGTCAACCAACACCACCGATCTACAACAAGGCGCTTGCTACCACTCAAATCCCTACTACTACATGGCACGCAAGATTGGGTCATCCGCACTCAAGAATTCTTGAAACAATAGCTAAAACAAATCCATTTCTACAAATTTCTGTTACTAGTCTTAATTGTCATTCTTGTAAAGCCTCCAAAGGGCATCAACTTGTTTTTGATAGTTCTACAAACTATAGCAATAATTTTCTTGAACTCATTCATTCTGATGTTTGGGGTCCTGCCCCTGTTCTTTCGAATCAAGGTTTTCAATACTACGTGCTTTTCGTTGATGATTTTTCGCGGTTTTCCTGGATTTTTCCTATGACACATAAATCCGAGGTTCTTAATATATTTATTAATTTCAAGAACCAAGTTGAAAAACTTACGGCTCATTCCATTAAATGCATACGTACTGACGGTGGGACTGAATACTTAAATCACGGCTTCCGCAAATTTACTCAAACTCATGGCATAACACACCAGATTTCCTGTCCATACACACCACAGCAAAACGGCTTGGCCGAGCGCAAGCATCGGCACATTATTGAAACTACCAGAACTCTTTTACTTCAAGCCTCTGTTCCTTATAAATTCTGGCTGGATGCGGCTATGACAGCTACCTATCTAATTAATAGAATGCCTTCTCATACTACTCATAATCGGTCTCCCTATGAAATTTTGTTTAACCGTAAGCCTGATTATTCTCTCTTGCGCACATTTGGTTGCACGTGTTTTCCTTTACAACCATCTTATTCCCGTCACAAACTTCAACCGAAGTCTCCTCCCTGTGTTTTTCTCGGTTACTCCGATATTTATAAAGGCTATAAATGTCTTCATCTTGAATCAAACAAAGTCTGTATGTCCCGTAATGTTACATTTGATGAATCTTCCTTCCCGTTTCATAATAGCTCCTCTCCGAAACAGCCTACCTCTACTACTGTTCCACCACCATTCTTTCTTACTCCCGAGTCTACGTCTTACTTGGATTCTGGCACTTGCTCACATTCGATGAATTCTCTTCCTATTATCAATTCTCCACTTCCTACTCAACCCACCGAACCGCAATCTCTTTCTATTCCCAGTTCGTCCCAATCAGTTGATATCACTGTTAGTCAGACTAACAACATCTCTCAACTCAACTCTCATCCTATGCTTACCAGATTGAAGACTGGCTCTCTGAAACCCAAGCAACGTTTAAATCTGCTTCACAAACAAATCATCCAAGACCATGTATCTGATCCAACTTCTTACAACGAAGCATGTAAACATATTGAATGGAGAAAGGCTATGGCTCTTGAGTTCTTTGCCTTACAACGCCAAGGCACATGGACGCTTGTGCAACCACCTCCAAATGCGTCTATACTTGGTTGTAAATGGACTTATCGAACGAAACGTCACACGGATGGTTCTGTTGCAACGCACAAAGCCCGCTTGGTTGCATTGGGTAACCATCAAGAATATGGAATTGATTATCTTGAAACCTTCAGCCCGGTAGCTAAACTTCCCACAATACGTATTCTACTAACGATTGCTTTGTACTATGACTGGCAGGTACAACAACTCGATGTAGCAAACGCGTTCCTTCACGGTAAGCTAGAGGAGACGGTTTACATGACACAACCTAAAGGCTTTGAAGACTCAATTAAACCCACTCATGTTTGCCGCCTCCATAAAGCCATATACGGTCTCAAACAAGCTCCACGCCAATGGTACAATACATTCACATCTTATTTAGTTTCACTTGGTTTTTCTCATAGTAAATCTGATCCATCGCTGCTTATTCAAACTAAATCCACTGACCGTATTTTTCTGCTTATGTATGTTGATGACATTCTCGTCACGGGAAACAATCCGCAAGCAATCTCCAAACTTCTGCACCAACTCAGTGACCGTTTCTCTATGAAACATTTAGGAGAAGCCAATTCCTACTTAGGCATACAAATTCAGAAATCTGCAAACGGCTACTTCCTATCTCAGAAATCCTATGCTATCTCCATTTTAAATCAAGCTAATCTTCTCAATTGCAAACCGTTGTCCAACCCATCCTGTACCAAAACTCCAGTTAGTCTACCGAAGAATGATGCTTTGTCAGATCCATGTCTTTATCGCAAATTAACAGGTGCGTTACAATATCTAACCTTAACTAGACCTGACATTGCATATGCCGTGAATTTTCTATCTCAGCACATGCACCAACCGCAAGACGTTCACGCCTATATGCTTAAACGGCTATTGCGGTACATAAGTGGAACACTCATCTATGGCATCCCAATCACCAAAAGCAAGCTTAATCTTCAATCCTTCTCGGACGCGGATTGGGCCGGAGATCCAGTTTCAAGAAAATCTACCTCGGGATATTGTTCCTTTCTAGGAACTACTCTTATTTCGTGGACTGTCAAAAAGCAACATACAGTTGCAAGATCTTCCACGGAGTCAGAATATCGGGCCTTGGCATCTCTCACGGCTGATGTTATATGGCTTAGGCGGGTACTGGCAGATTTCGGAGCTCCTTCTACATCTCCAACTGATATCCATTGCGACAACACATCGGCTATCGCACTTGCAAATAATCCAGTCTTTCATGCGAGGACAAAGCACATTGAAATTGATCACAGATTCATTCGTGATCACATTCATAACAACAATATTCGCTTACTTCCCATTAGCACGGTAGATCAAACGGCTGATATTCTCACAAAACCGCTCTCTACACCTCGGTTTCATTCTCTTAGGACCAAACTAACTGTCATTCCTGACCCGTCAGTTTGCCGGGGAGTATTAGAAAGAATAAGTGATTAAAAGTTATATTCTGTAATTAGTTTTATTAGACTACCGTACTGTACTTTCTTTAAGCATTTCTGTATATTTACTTCTTTACCAATAGACCAAAGGTCTATTTATATATCCATCCTGTACTCTGTAAGTAGTAAGGGAGATAATATTTTCTTTCTGTTATTCTGCAATGTCGTGCTTTCTCTTTCACAATTCTGCTCGTTTCTCTCTTCTTCTCTGATCTCAACCTTTCTCAAGAAAGCTGCTCAAGATTCAACGTTTTCATCAGATAGGATAAAAATTATGAAGTGATATTCGTCTTTTGAAGATATTTAGACTTTTTTTTTACTTCTGTTGAAAGTTTTTTTTTATTAGGAAGGCTAAGGCTACAAAGGTCCATTGCCGGGAGTTTTTATGAACGTCGTGCTTCCATCATTATGGCACTATGGCACTATCCGCAGGCGTTTACTTTTTTGCAATTTGGCCTCTGGAGTTCAAATGATCCATCAAATATTAAAATGTCTTATCAATAACTGACATGATCACAGACTGGCTGTCACTAGCTTAATACCAACTGTTATCCACTGAGGCTTAGGGTGGTTGGTGGGCGAGCACGGTTGAGGACCCCCATCCCGGGTTCGAATCCCCTCTACTACGGCCTCGTCTCTTCAGTGGGGCAAAACAAATGTGAGCCCGATGCCGGTGGGTGGCCTCGCTAGCTTCCGCCGAGAAACTAGTTATGCCGCCAAGCGCTCCTTTTAGAGTGGCAGCGGATAGATACCTCCATTCAAAAAAAAAAAACCCCCAATTTTTGTTTACTTTTTAAGCTTTCTCGTAACGTTTTAATACTTAACTGTCTTGAAGATTCTACAGGCACTGCTGAAACTCTTGTCAATTAATTCTGATCGTATGGTTATTGTAATAACTTAAAACTTTTACTCATCTTTCAGACTCTCAGCTCATTAGCACTTGTGTTTGCTCTCCATCACTACAAGCCAACTCCACTCTATGTTATGGATGAAATAGATGCCGCCTTAGGTGCTTTTTCTACTCTTTTCATTTCCTGCTCATTATCTTTATGATATCTAATCTTATAGATGTTCAATTCCTTCCAGACTTCAAAAATGTTTCAATTGTCGGCCACTATGTAAAAGATCGCACTAAGGATGCTCAATTTATAATCATAAGGTATGCTTTTCTTTTGAATGGCTTTCATTTTATAATCATAAGATTCGTTTGGGACAGCTTTCTTACGGTTTCTTAAAGCGGCTTTCTAATATAATTTTTATACTAAAAAGCCGCTTTAAGCAGCAATAAGAAAACCGCTTCAAATGAAGCCATCGTATGCAACCTGAGTTTTTTTTTTTTTTTTTTTTAATCTGACGGTCAGCTTGAGGAACAACATGTTTGAGCTTGCGGATAGACTTGTTGGCATTTACAAGACTGACAACTGTACTAAAAGCATCACCATAAATCCTAAGAGCTTTGCTGATCCAGGAGAGGCCTTTTAAGACTTTTCCATGTATTCATTTAGAGGGTCTGGAAAGCTGAATTTCCTTGTTTAAATTATGTATTTACTCATGTGAAGTTTTTATCATATTTTTTTGATGAAGTTTAGGGTTTTTTTGTTGCAAAAAAAAAAAAAAAACTGCTATTATGCATGTAATTATTTATTTTGGCCTTCAAAAGTTGCACTATTAAACTCTAGTTGATTTGGTTTTAAAAAGAAGCCTTCCATTGGTGTGCAACGGCATTATTAATCAAGTAATGCTTCATTTAAACAAAAATTAAAATTAAATGTTTGATTTTTTTTTTTTTTTGGAATATGGTACCCTGAGCTTTTAAATAAGAATGTTAAAATCTTGTTTAAGCTTATTTATTATGATTTTTAACAAGTTTTAGCCATGATTGAGAATGTCTAATTATGTATCTTACCTAAATGATTTAGGCTTCTTTTGGGACGGTTTTTTTATTGCTTCTTAAAACGAAACTCTGTTTTAGAAGCAATCAAAAAGTCGTTTCAAATGAAGCCTTAAGCGTAAATGAGTTTATGGATTTAATTAGAAATTGCATATTTGATTAAGTGCTATGAGTCATCATTGATTTTAGGTGTTATTAGGCCTTAATTCACCTTCAAACTCCACATAAATGTGTACATAAATTTTGTAGCAAGTCTTTTAGAAGTTTGCCAAGAAAATGCTTAACTATATTTGTGAGGCTTGTTATCATGGGTTATTTCTCCATTAATATCCTTAATTTTGAAATAGAATTATTTTTTTTTTTTTTGCGTCTTCTACTTATATATATTTTTTATTTTATTTAATAGAAGAAAAAAAAGATCGTTATATAAATTGTATACTATGGATTTCATTTTTTTTTTAATTAATATTATATATATCGATATGTCTGTGTTTCAGTATTTGCATTAATTGATGCTTTCAAAGCACATCAACATGTCAGGATAGGTTTAAGAGCCATTGAATTTATAATGAGATTAATGCAATTCATGATATCATATATAACTATATAAGTATTAATATTATCACAATTTTCAAAGCTTGTAAGATTATTCTAATACAAATTATATATGATTATTCTTACCCAATTTTTATATCGCTTAGTGAGTTTTAAGGGATTTATTTTGGGTAGAAAAGTCCTTGAGAAGTTTGTAGGTTTTTTTTTTTTTTTTTTTTTTTATTTTTTTTTTTTTTTTTGAATTGTTTATATTTAGGACTAATTTAGAATTTGAGATACTCTAAATAATAAAATAATATCAATTGAAGGAAGGTTTATTGATCCACAACAAACCTCTATATTAATCAAACAAGGAGAACATTTTAATTTAAATATGTATTATACAAGAATATTGTTAAGTTTGATTCAATTATTAGATATTTAATAAGTTCATTAATTTGCACTAATAATTAGTTTTCTTTCTTGTTTTAAAGCTAACAAAATTTCTCACTCATGCCTTTTGTATAGCTCTTGTGTTGCACTTCTAGGTTTTGTTCTTATTTTGCTTCTTATAGTAACAGGTCAGGTTGAACTTGATATAGTGGGGGGTGGATCAAGCATGAGATAGGGAGAGAGGGCGTGCGAGCGAGAGAGTTGGTGATCTCGTGATTCATGGGGAAGGAGATGAGGAGACGAGCAACAAGGGCTTCATCATCTTGCAATTTTAGTTAATAGTTAGAGGGACGAGAATGATCTGAAAACTCTTAGTTGTGTTTGACCTAGGTAAATCAAGAAGAATGATCATAAACTTTTTCTTGCATGATTCTTTCACATGATCAAAGATTGGAGGTTTTGTTGGTTAGGGGTTTCTTTCTTCTTAAAATTATTTTAATTACGAAGATTAACCTAGATCTAAAGCATATTAGAGTTTTGTAATTTGATTGTGCATCTTAATAGAAGTCTCGCCTTCTCTTTCTCTCTCAAGATGTAGACACAAATGTATCAAATCACATAAATATTTGTTTTCATTATCTTTGGCAACTAGTCTATTGATTCTTTGCATTCATCTAGTTTATATTAAAGTTTCTAGGATTCTTAGTTAAATATTTATAATCTTGATTATTGTTTTGAACGGACTAACTTGCTCTTACTGTAGTTTTTCAAGCTATTCTTCTCTAGTTAATCAAATACCTTATTACTATTAGACTTGATTGTTTGCTACTTTTAATATTGCAATTAAATAATTAATTAAATTATTTAATTAGCTAAATCAAGATCACATTAAGGCAAATTTTAAATTGTTCTAATTGTAAAAAAGTTTATTCAACAACTTTGAATTTATTCCTAATTTCATATAATTGTTTGCCCATAGTCAAGGAATATAAAATATTATTAATTTTTTTACGCAACCTAAAACTTTATTTGGAAAGCTTAATTTTAATCATTTGGAAAAGATTATGTACCTGTTGGGTTTGCGTTCATAACAAACACATTACTCTTTATCTTAAATTTAATTTACTCAATTTTTTATTTTAATTTGTTTGTCAAACTTTAGTTGATAAATTATACTTCAATTTTAATTATTTTATTATTTTTTTAATGGCTTCATTATTTTCTTTTGAAAATGACAGTTCTTTTGTATTTTTTAATAAATTTATTTTATAATATTTTGTTATAAATATATCTACTGTATTTATTAATTTATTTTCTTTAAAATTAATATCTATATAAAAAATTATGTTAAATTAATCTCAAAAAAATCAATAAGTTTTAAGCTAATTTTAATAAAATTTATATCATAATATCTCAACACAATTCTTAAACACAGATTAATTAATATAATATTTATATCAAATGTCGGGTTAAATATCTCCTTAATCATAATACTAATAGAACAAAGTAACAAACAATAAAATAAAATACATTATTTTTAAAAATAAATTCCTGAAAACTAACAGTCAGCTAAATCAGACGTGGAAGAAACTCTTTCTCTTTTTTTTTTTCTTTTTTTTTTCACAAACAAAAAAAAAGTCCATTAAAAAAAATCACACGTTGATTTTTAATTAAATAATTAAAAAAGACAAAAAGGTACAGAATAGAGATTAATCATCTGCAGCCTGGCAGTCCAGATCTGCTCCAGGCTGTAGGTGAAGGTCCCACCGTCCGATACCTCATCCGACGGCTAGTTTTTCTCCTTTTGAGCTGTCACGGGTCCCACCACTTTATCACTATATTCTCTTGTTTTCCCATTATATGTAACCGATTAATTACTCCTTAAGTGAGGAGTTGAGCTGCAGCTTTCATATACTTAAGTTGACAATCAGTTGATTAAGCATTAATAACCATTAATTAATTAGTCATTAGCCTCAACGATTGTTTAACATTATATTATTATACATCCCTTATAAATTTACATTAAATTAAAGTTAAATCTATTAATTTTGGCACAATTATTGTGATTAAAATTAATTTTAAATTAAATAAAAAAACATTTAAGTAAGGATATTTATGAATATTATATTCAAATAAATGTTAAGATCAAATAAAGTAAAATGTTAAATATTACACATCATCATAAGTGTCCCCATATATAACAATTTAAAAATTTGCAAAAAAGTTTGAAAATTTGCAGATTTGCTAATTTGTAAACGGATGAAGCCGAGAGATTAATATTTTTAATAATAGCCGTCCTTTTATTGAATATGTAGGTTGAAGATGAGCTTTCGACGTGTGACAAAGCCAGTTATATAAAATAAAAAATAAAAAAAATTATTATTCTCGACATTCCAATAATTATTTGGGCTTAATCTTAAAAAAATATTAAGTTAAATAAAATCATTATAAAAATATTCATTTATTAAAAATTTTAAAAGACTATAAAGAGAAAATATATTAAATAAAACAGAACAGATAATTTTTTTATTGATTAAGGGAAATAAAGTGAAGAAGATTGAAGGCGGCAAGAAAGAAGAAAATGGTGAAGGAGATTAATTTTTAATTAGCGAACCTAATTGCGGTTGCTTTGCAGGTGGCATCGATAACCTCTGCAATTAACTTTGTGGTTATGTCCATGGAAAGCTTAATGGAAGGTGGAGGGTGGCTTTCCCTGTAATGTAACTTACAGGCTACCTCTCAACTACCAAAGCTGCATGCCAAAATGATCCAAAAAGCTTTCAAAATCTCTGAGTCATGCATTATAGTTAAAATGTAAAGAGAATATTCTAATAAATTTAAGATAATGACAAATTTGTAAGTATGCATTAATTTATCTCAATTGTGGAATTCCAAATAGGGGAGCATCCATAGATTTTGTAGAAATCTAGAGCAGAAAGATCACTCGGAGTTTTAAAGGTTGTTTGGATCATCAAAGAGTTTTTACGCACTACTAGGGGTGCAAATAAGTCAAGTCGAGTTCGATCTCGATTCGCGAGCCAGATCCTGAGCTCAGAAGGCGAGCTCGAGCTTGGCTCGTTCCGCTGAAAAAGCTTGTCGAACGTTTCGTTCGCATCCCCTTACACCCGTGTCGACTGTGTCCGTCATTCCACCCTCGTCCGCGTCCGACATCCTGCTCGCTCATCCTATGTTCCGCCCGCGTCCGTTATTCTGACCGTGTCCAACATTCCACTCGCATCCGCATCCATCGATTTTATTCCAACCACAGTTTTTGCTTTTTCGTTGCTTTTAGAAGTTTTTGCACTAGCAAACTGCTTTCTACATCGACTTTCAAAAAAGTTACTTTCTCCATACTAAAATTTTATAATCAATTTTACAAAAAATTTCAGCCATAGAACTCTAAACTTGTATTTCAAGAGCACTACGTCATAGCAAGCCAATTTTGGAGCATATCATAGAGCTCTCCACCCTTTATAAAGTGTTTGATTCTACTCTTTCACTAATAAAATCAATCACAAAATAATCTGACACATTAAATAACTTAATGAGCTATTAAATTCTCATTCAATAATTGTGCTCCTCGTGGCCATTCTCATGCAAGCAAAGCTGGTCAAGCAGTACATGGCCATTTAAATCATTGTATAAAATCAGAACAAAAACAGTCCACACGACACAAAATTCTCTAGCATCTTCTCTTCTCATTACAAGTATCGCAATTATTGATGAGCTGCCATACCATTTTTTATTTTTTATTTTTTATTT